TTTTTTTTTTTTTTTTTACCATTTTGCATTTATTTGTGTGTGTGTTTTTCAAGGATTTATACTTCTTGTCTCTACAATATTCTTGTCTATGATTCAGACTTCTCGTAAGATCTTGAGCAAATTGACTTCAGTTTACCTTGTTTTTATTACAAATAAATTAGCTAATTGGCATATAGTGATTCTTTATGAAGTTTGATACAAAATTTCCTTAATTCAAGAGTCATCTGAAGTGTGATGGCAATATGTGGGTAATTCTTTGCCATGTCTGAAACTGTAGATGATTTCTTTTTCATGTCTGAGTTTCACATTCATCTTGGCCAGAGAGGGCAAAGTAGCTTTGGACCCATTTTACTATTTGTATGGTGGGAAAGAAGTGTTTCTCTCATTTGTTGTCTACAGTACACACTCTGGTCAGCTAAGACTGTGTTGATGGTTGTGGCTAAAAAAATTTGTTTATATAGTATAATAAGCCTTCTGCTAAGTTTTCTGCCATGAAGGCATCCATAGGCATACTTAGATATGAATTTTCTACTTTCACATGCTCCAAAAGTAGGATTTTCTTTTGTATTCACCATCAACCTTCACATAACTCCAGTCTTAGAGGCTCTTCTCTTCCTCTCTCCCCTCTCTCCTGACCCCTCCACAAGTATGCTGCTTTCTTTAATTTGTTTTGGGGAGAGAGCCAAGTTGGAAGTGCTGAGAAGTGACAAAATCTACTATACTGCAGGTTTTGTCAAATTAGTTTTTCTTCAAAATATTTAAATTTATAAAAACATTTTATAATTTTTTCACTAATTTGTAACTATCCAAAAATTAGACGGATATTTTGCAGTTAGTTGATTTGAAAAGAGCATGGCAGAAGTAACTTTACAACCTTTAGTCCCAAAGCTTTTAAAACAAGTTTCATTTCAGTGAGTAATAAGTATGATACCTGCACTTGATTTTATTCTCAAATGAAACCAATTAAACCTCCTCTGCTTGATCTAATATGGCCAGTGCTGGGGGCAAGAATAGAAGCTAAATCTTACTGTCTGTGCTAATTGCAGTAAAGCTAATTGCATCAAGAAACTAGTTCACATAATTTTTCTCCAAGTGACTTAGGTACTTATTCTTTGTCTGGCAAACTATTTTAGATTAATGTTTTTTGTTAGATAAGCCAAGTACAGAAACCCGGGTACAGAAACTCACCAGGGCAGGAAGCCCTAGAGCCTAGCAAGGGGCAAAACTGAAAAAACAAGAACCTTGTCCCCAGGGTAACCTATCCTCCCCTAGCATATAGCTAGTCATGGGGTTTGGACCCCCTGAGTGTTCTTCCCTAAAGATAACTTCTAGGCCTCAGCTGTATTTCAGCTCCAGGCCCAAATAAGTGGCGCCCTGGTTGCCTCAGGACCAGCTACACTGACTAATGACCCCCTGCCCTGGCATCCACCAATCAGTGGAGACCACCACCCTGAAAGAGCGCACCTGGAAAGCTGATGAATATTCTATTGAGACAGTCCCCTGAGACCTCCCCGAAGATTCCTGCCTGCAAGAAAGAGATAAATATGCTCAGGAAGAAGGACCCAGTGAGGTCTCCCCACCAGGGGAGCATGCCAGCACCATCACCATCCCTCTGAGGGGACCCCACGAGACTTGCAACCAGGGGAACAGTGGGCAGCAGCAGCTCGTCCCCAGGTTTACCCCCTGAACCTGTCTCTAAGGTCCCCAAACCTTTCTCTAGGGGCCCCTTCTTTCTCTGACTTCTCAGTGAGCCAAAGCAGCCCAGCCTAGGTTCTCCTGTTGCCTCTTCTGTGCTCTTCCTTGTTTCACTGTCCCAAGTATACTTTGGCTGCCATCATGGACCCAATACCCTTTGACTCAATGCTGTGTAGCCCTTCCCTTTGGATATCCGCATCCCCTTTTAATAAATTTAATTTTTCTTTATTCACCTCTCTGAGATGGCTGTTTAGCCTGCTTGCGCCCCATCACCACATTAACCTTTCATTTGTTTTGCCAACATTTCCGTGTATAAATGAAGGACTAAATTCTGCTTTAACATTTGCAAGCACATTCCTCTATAGTTTCCAAAACAAACCTATTGCACTCCACTCATATGTAAGGCTGCTGTTTCTATCACATCTTCCCAGAATTCACCTCTGTTTAATAAAGCCTGTTTAAGGTCAGAAAAATGTATTTGAATTGGATTAAGTGTAAAGGAAAAGTAGCAGCAATGTAATGTGGAAGTGCTTTGTGCTATCAACAATGATTTATACAGATCCCAGTGACAGATACTTAAGGCTATACTTTCAAGGGCCTGTTCACAACTTGATTGCTAAAAATAAAAGGAAACACAGTTTCTCTGCCTTTTCCAGCTCACCTCTCCTCCTTTAGTCCAAGGCCCATATTGTATAGAGTATAATTTTGACCTTTCTTCTTTTTTTCTTCCTTTAAAAATATTTTGCTGCATGGGGGAGGATGAAAAGGGTAAAGGAGGTCAAATACAAGGTGACGGAAGAACACTAGATTTAGGATAGTGAGCACACAATAGAGTATACAGATGTTGCACTATAAAGTTGCAACTTGAAATTTATATAATGTTATTAACCAACATTACCCAATATATTTAATAAAGATATTTTACTAAGTGTTAAGTCTTCTAGGCCCAGAGACAGATTTATTGTGAAGTTAATGAAGCTTAAGTTTCAGTGAGTGACCCCTTCTGAGACCCTGGACAGAGCCTTAGCAATGTGTTCACATGGTTACATATTTTTGCAAAAGTAAAATATTTTAACCACAATCCTTTAAGTCTGTTGTCTATTGCCACTTTGAATCCCCCTCTCTTAGACTTCCCCTGTGTTGGGTGGTATTGGATGTGCCATGGACATTTTGAGGATCTAAGGGGAGGTTCACTTTGGTGTTAGTAGGATATTTGGCTATATGTGGTTCTTAGTCACTTGTGTGTATAGTGACCTTTTTGCTAGAAATTCCGGTGTAGGGATGGCTTTCAGTAATACTCCTACCACCCACTGACTCACCCAGTATTATGGTATAAAGGTGTAGGGCCCAGTGTAAAGTGGTAGGTGACTGATATCATTTCAAAGAGAATTTAAAACTAATCACTGCACAGGTAAACTTATGAAATGCCCTGAAATCTTAAAGCTCATGTATGAAAGAAGCTGATAGTGTCCCTAACTTTAATAGCTCTAAAAATTTATCAATATCTAGTTGTGACATTGAAAGGAAATTTTCTAAACTCTCATTAATAAAAAATATTTTGACCTATGAGAAAGACAAGTATCTTTCGCCCAGCCAAAAACAAAAAAAAGTTCCAATTAGAAATCAAAAGATTGATCTCTATATGCTCATATGGAACAATATCTATTTGCTAAGTGAAATAAGCAAGATGCAGAACAATATGTATAGTGTGATTCCATTTATGTAAAAAGGGATATATATATCTATATATTCACACATATAGGGATATACACACATACATATAAACCGTTTTATATTCATCGTCTATTTCTGGAAAGATACATATATAGCAAACCGATAACTGGTTACCTTTGGGAGAGGGATTTTACTCTGTACATGTGTTATTTTTTCAAGAATTAAACAATAATTATTTTCGCCCAGCCAGTGTGGCTCAGTTGGTTGAGCGTCGTCCCAAACACCAAGAAGTCACCAGTTTGATTCCCCAGTCAGGGCACATGCCCAGGTTGCGGGCTCGATCCCCAGTAGGGGGCATGCAGGAGGCAGCCAAATGATGTTTCTCATCAATGTTCCTGTCTCTCAAAAATCAATAAAAACGTATTTTAAAAAGTTATTTTTAAGGGGAGTAAGGAATGTATTGATCCACAGGGTGAATTTAGTTATTGCTATCATCTAGGTGGTCACTTTTTAAAAGGATAGTCTGTATTACACACAATAGTGTGGTGATAGCCTGAGGGAAAGGGGTGTGGGGGCTAGGTAGCAGTAGGCAAAAGAGGGGGTACAGAAAGAGACTTTGTTTGGGGAGATGAGTGCATGATACAGTGTCCAGATGATGTTTTATTGACTTGCACACTTGAAACCTGTATGGTTTTGTAAACCAATGTCACCCCAATAAGTTCAATTTAAAAAAATAAATAAGAATAGTCTATATTAGCAGAATGGATGGCAGCCTTTATCTGCATAAAGGAAAAAAGTACTCAAAGAACTTGCAGTTTCAGTTTCAAGGACAAAGTAATTTGCTAATAAGGCATGAACCTTTGGAGTCATTCAGCACTTATATCCAATTAAATTTGTTTTCACATTTCCACTTTCGAAAAGGCCAGTCAGTCCCAGAGCGAGACCTTCACATTATCTGCCCATTTAATTTAACCCCTGACAGAGTGATTAAGTCAAACATCAGGCCCTGGCCGGTTTGGCTCAGTGGTTAGAGCATCAGCCTGCAGACTGAAGAGTCCCAGGTTCAATTCTTTCCAAGGTCACGTACCTCAGTTGCAGGCTCAATCCCTGGTCCTGGTTGGGGCACGTGCAGGAGGCAACTAATCAATGTGTCGCTCTTACATTGATATTTCTCTCTCTCTCCCTTTCACTCTCTCTGAAAAGCAATGGAAAAAATATCCTCAGGTGAGGATTAAAAAAAAAAACACACAAAAAAACTTCAGGTTAATCCCTTTAAAGTCTAGTCTTGACACTGGCAGGACAAACAAGAGTATTACACTAATTTACAAACTTTACAATTTAAGACAAAATTCCCAAAATGTATTTAAGTGCTGAAGCTGCAAA